TGCCAGGTATTTTCTTCTGGTGGAAGCAACAACAGACATATACATTAATATTTCCATGTCTTGGTTAAAATGCAGTGCTGCGGTTTTGTTTATCTCTGAAAGAAATTTCAAAATGTCAAATAGGTATAAAACATGAAACATCACACACTTCCCCAGTAAACTGAAAATAGACGATAAGCCTTAGGATATACAAATGGATCAAAGTGTGCTTTTTCATTTCTAGGAATGACTTAGTCCTTAAAGACCCCTTATGACTATTGAGCATTCATGTGTATTTCTTTCACAAACCCGATTGAATTAAGTGCAAACGGTATTTGTAGAAAGTATCTGTACTCCTGCCTGGGGTAGAGGTGATGGAGGTTACCTGTAGGGCAGGATCTTCCTGGCCTGAGAAAGCAGATTTTCTAGCTGAGAAAGACTAGACTCGCATCTGTTGTAACACACCAGGCTCTTGGGTACAAAGTGGCCCAGTAAAGACAATCAGCACCTGGAACTTCAACCAGGGGAAGGAATGGATCAGCAGCATTTGCAGAAGCTGGAAAAGGCTTTACGGAAGCAGAGACTGGACTGGCATTCTGATTTTGGATGGATTGGGAGGAGAGGGGTCTGGGAACCTTAGGCAAGAGAAACAATGTAGGGTAGACCCAGCAAGTACGAGAAATAAAGGCCCAGCTAGAGTAAAGGGTTTGTGTTTGGTGATAGAAAAAGCTCAGCTCAGCCCATGGGATAAGGTTAAGAGAAAACCTGAAGGCTCAGAAGGAGGAATTTAGAGTGGATTCTGTGGTGTCGACCATGGGAGCCATTGCAGGTTCTTGAGCAGAGCTGTGCCACGATTTTTAAGAGAAAGTAATTACTCTTCTGCTTTGAAAAGTGGTGCTGATGAATCTATTGGCTGTCTTGTTTATTGTTTTTGTGTCTCCCTTTATTTTTTAAAAATGTGTTTTTATTGATTTTTAGAGAGAGAGGAAGGGAGAGGGATAGAGAGATAAAAAACATCGATGAGAGAGGAATATCATTGACCAGCTGCCTCCTGCATGCCCCCTTCTGGTGATTGAACTCACAACCTGAGCATGTGCCATGACCAGGAATCGAACCGGTGACCTCTTGGTGCCTGGGTAGATGCTCAACCACTGAGCCACACTGGCCAGGCTTTTTTTCTCCCTTTATTTTTTTATATAGTTTATTGATTTTTTTTACAGAGAGGAAGGGAGAGGGATAAAGAGTTAGAAATATCGATGAGAGAGAAACATCGATCAGCTGCCTCCTGCACACACCCTACTGGGGATGTGCCTGCAACCAAGGTACATGCCCTTGACCGGAATCAAACCTGGGACCTTTCAGTCCTCAGGCCAACGCTCTATCCACTGAGCCAAACCAGTCAGGGCTTTTTCTCCCTTTAGATACTTCAGTCTCTTCATCTGATATTTACTGCTCATGTCTACTTCAGTGTGGCATTTTCTCACATCCATCCCTCTTGTACTTCCATTTTCTGATGGCCATGTGAGGGCAGAATGGTGGGGTGGAACATTCACCTGGAATGTGGGACCACCTGGTGCTGGGAAGACCAGGGAAGCAGGAACCACGTGACTCCTGGTCCTCTGGCCTCTACTGCACTTGGCATAGATGCAATTTCTCTGATGTGACATGTCGCTGCCTCTCCCCTCGGTGCGAGCAGGATTGACAGGCATTGATGCTGGTCCCATTGAAGAACGTGCCCTTGTGGAGCACGGGTGCAGACACAGCCTTGAGGAGCAGCACTGGTCACCTCCATGCGCAGGATGCATCTTATGCCATAATTACCCATTGCTCTCCAACTGTACACCATCCAACTGTGTTCTTTCACAGTCTGACTTGACATATATCTTAAGACCTGCTTCTAAGAAAGATGTTCCTTCACGCTATAATTTTCTCTCCCATAACTCTACACAATTAAGATCACTATGGCCCTCCAACCCTGCCTTTTGTAACTTTTAAAAGGGGGAATATAGTGGGAAGAAAAGAAAGCATTTTATTTTGGGATGTCTCCAAAGCCATTCATTAATTTTGGAAAAGTAAAATGCACTTAACCTGATGGAATATTTATAAAAATTGGAAGCTCACTGTCAACTAAATCTCATTTATTTAATCTAGTATTAGACTGCCTTTTTTTGTTAACCAGATGGAAAACATTAGCAGTAATAGTGAACAAACATATCCCGGCTCCCAGCGGTCATTTTTAACCACCATTAACAATCTGGTTTTTACAGATTAGTAATATGCAAAAGGCAGTGGTCCAGATACACAAAAGGCAGCTGAAGCTTCTGTGTGCCTTACTTATTAGCATTGAACTATTTTTAAAAACCCTTTGTATGTGAAACATTCGATCTAAGCTCAAAATTGGCAGATTTTACCCAGAAGTTGGAATAGAATCTCTCTTTGAAATAGACACTGATGTAAAATATTAATAAACCCTCCACAAAGCTGATGGAAAGAAAAGCTTATTATTAATGTCATCAGTAGATTTGCCTGTGGTTCATATAGTTTCCATTTACTAGCCATTTGTTTAATGGTTTCATACCTATGTAAGCCTCCTAATTGTGAAGTGGAAAAGAAGTGCATTTTAACACGTCATATTTTAACTTTTAAATTGAATTACCTAATTGAAATGTAATACAAAATAAATAGCTCACAAAATACACTATTGGAGCAAAAAGAATCCGGTGTAAAATGTGAGAAGGACTTGGCTTCTAGAGTTGCCTGTTCAGAAACAAACTATCTCATTTAAACCGAGTGTTGAGTGTTGCAGGGTTTTATTATGCCCTGTAAATGGATGCAGAGGTCTGTGCATTCTTGTTTCTCCTCTTGTTCAGACTCAAGATTGAGTATGAACCGTCTGTTTGACTAGAGCAAACATAGTCAAAACTGCACATATTATGCACTTATCTTCCTTTCAAAATACCGTTATACCTGGTTTACGTATTTATGATTTGCTATCCACCTTCATGTTACTCTTGTTTTATATACTAGTATTTTATAGGAATTACATTGAGGTCTATTTTTAGAATGTTTCACAGAAATTTCCTCATATTTTATTTCATTTTTTAAAAATATATTTTATTGATTTTTTACAGAGAGGAAGGGAGAGAGATAGAGAGTTAGAAACATCGATGAGAGAGAAACATCGATCAGCTGCCTCCTGCACATCTCCTACTGGGGATGTGCCCGCAACCCAAGTACATGCCCTTGACCGGAATCGAACCTGGGACCTTTCAGTCCGCAGGCTGATGCTCTATCCACTGAGCCAAACCGGTTTCGGCTCCTCATATTTTATTATATGGAGAAGAAAGCCAAAGTTTGAACATTCAGAAGCCTATAGAGAGAGGCCATGTCGAAGATGAGAGTGGGAATGAGATTGTGCAAGTATGCTCTAGCTACTAGAGAAAATGCCTGCGTTACAGAACTCGTGGTTGCCAATGATATTCTTGTCCTACTGACGGGGACCAGGAACCACCTTCTCATAACTATGTACGTGTGTAGGAATATTTGCATAGATTATATTTACATATATGTATTTATATACACACACCTATACACATACACACATACCTGCACACACATATTCCCAACAGTCTTCAGGTGGACTGCAGAATCGCCATTTATAAGATCCTGCTAAGGATTTTCCTGTCTGTTCTGGTACTGACCTGTCTCCCTGCCACTTTGGGGAGAAATTCTGTGTCCCTCCTTGTAGGAATTTTTACCTTGACAGTGAAATCTCCCAGTATTCCTACAAGTGCCCAGGGCCATTCCATTCCATTTCTTGCTGAGGAAGGGAAATGAGTAAATAGTGAGGAGAGAATTGAAATGATGCATTCTAGCCTGGGTTATAATTTAAAATTTACATCCTCCCGAGGTTTCTTTCAGTGACAACTGAAAACACTTTATTGAGTACCTGTTATATGTGCAGCACTATGCTAGGCACTGGCCATGCAGGAAAGACAGAGCCCTACCTCCAAGCAGCACGCCATCTAGTGGGTGAATTAGGCAAGTAAGTGAACAGCTTCCAGGGACACAGAGGAGGCTAAGTAGGGACAAAAATCCATGAAACCTCAGAGTACTTTTGTCTGTACTCACCTCTTTGGAAAGCATATCACATTTTATGGATAGTTGCAGGTAGCTGATTGAAATTTGAAAAAAAAATTCTGGCTAGCTGAATGATTGGATTTCTTTAGTTTATTTATAATTTCTGGATTGTATAGACTGAATTTATGAATGTAGATAAATACATTTTCTTTATCTTGCCTTCATTCTGGTAGGTAAGAAAAACAATCTAACCTTTACCCACACTATAGTCTTTATTGGTTAAAGGCAAGTAGTTAAGAAATTATTAGCAAGCATGTCAGCAAGCATGTGACTAATACAAAGTAATATAAGATAACTAGTCTCTGTTTTAGGTTAATTTAAAAAAAACAAAACCCTATCACTTATTAGGAAATTGTTCCAGGCTTGTAAATTCTCTCTCAAGGACAACTGAAGCCTCCTCCCACTGCTTTTTCACTGTCCCAAACGTTGGTGGCTCCAGATGGCAGGAGGCTTCTGCTTCCACGGTTTGGAGGCCTTTCACTAGTCAGCAGACTTCTTCATGCTTCTGCAGGGAGAGGGACTCTAATCAGACTTCTTCCAGAAATGTTGACTGCTCAATCGCCTCTCTTTCCCGTTCTAACAATTACCTTCGTTGTAAAGGAGGGGTAGTACTGGGGCGGGGAGAGGGGCTAACTCAGGAATCTACTTTCACGGAGCTGCCATCACAGGCCACATAGGCTGTGCCCTCATTCTCTCTAGCTCCCCCCATGCTCCTGGGGAATTGAACATGAGCAAATGAGGACATTTGGTTCTGAGGACTTCCAGTTTCAAGTTATGGTAAATAATAAGCTCTTTTGTAGATACTGAAACAAAATGAAGAGAAGAACGTTCAGAAAATAGCCCACACAAAACTAATATTTTTCTCCTTTTTTTTTTTAAAGGTGAACACACTCAAGAAACAAATTCACCTCATTCTCTCAAAAAGGATGTAGAAAATATGGGGAAAGGTAAAGAAAAGTTTTAATTCTGTGGAACTTCTCTTCGCTTTAAAAGACTTATAGAGATAATAGGAGGATATTTTTGTTCTACGCCGTATTTTAAGCTTGACAAGCAACATATGAATAATATATGGACCATTGGGTGGATATAATTGAGATTAATGCATACATATCAATCAATACATGACACTGTAATATAATACTTTAAAATAATATATTACATTGATTTATATTCATGGATTTCTGCACAAAATCTATCCTGTGTCTATGCAACACTTTTTAAACTGGTAAAATATTTCGTCTTCTAATAATAAATTGCCATATATAACAGTTCTCTGGAGAGTTATTTATAAAGATTAGTAAAATGACTCTTCCTTTTTTCTTTATTAGAAGAACTTCAGAAGGTTTTATTTGAACAAATAGATTTACGGAGACGACTGGAACAAGAATTTCAAGTGTTAAAAGGAAATACATCTTTCCCAGTATTCAGTAAGAAATCACTTTTATTTCATTGCATTATGAAATTTGATGACATTCCTATTATTAGGCTAAAGAATATGCTTCTGAGGATTAAGTGACTGTGTAAAGTGCTGCTCAGTCTTCCTGTGTTCTCCATGTAAATATTAGGAAATTTTAGTCTCTTATTTATGCTTTGAATCAGCTCACAGATGAAATTTCAGAGAAGAACGTTTGGTATTTATTGCAGAGGTGTATGTGTATCTGTATGTGTGTATTGTGTATATTTAAAATATGTATGCAAACATACCATTAAATGTGTAGATATATTTAAATATTCAGAAATATTTAGGATGTATTTATTTTTAAAATATATTTTATTGATTTCAGAGAGGAAGGGTAAGGGAAAGAGAGATAGAAACATCAATGATGAGAGAGAATCATTGATCGGCTGCCTCCTGCATGCCCCACACTGGGCATGTGCCCTGACTGGGATTCGAACTGTGACCTCCTGGTTCATAGGTCAACACTCAGCCAATGAGCCACACCAGCTGGGCTAGGCTGTATATTTTTTTAAAAGAATTACTCAGGCCGAAACCGGTTTGGCTCAGTGGATAGAGTGTCGGCCTACGGACTGAAAGGTCCCGGGTTCAATTCCGGTCAAGGGCATGTACCTGGGTTGCGAGCACATCCCCAGTAGGAGATGTGCAGGAGGCGGCTGATCGATGTTTCTCTCATCAATGTTTCTGACTACCTCTCTCCCTTAAAAAAATCAATTTAAAAATATATTAAAAAAATAAAATAAAAAAGAATTACTCAGGTATTTTTATTCCCTAAGATAGAAAAAGCAAAAGAACAATTAATTCATATTCTCATATTGTGCTGGCTGGAGAGCTGCTTGGTGCTTGAAATACGCATATATATGAAGTTTTAAAATTTATCAATTCAATGTACACATGTTTGTTTTGTTGATTGAAATTAGTATAATTTTAGTAGTTTTGGATTCTCCATATTTAATGTAAAAATTCCATTTCAACTTTGATGGCAGGAGATATTTTAGTTAAACACTATTGGTTGTGCTGCCAGAATCCTGGAATTTCAGACTTTATGTAGGTGTCCAGATTTGTAAAATCCACCAGCCCCAGCCTGGGTCACATTTTGACAAATACATTAACAGTTGTTGTTGTTTTTTTAAGCTTTTGGAGTTTGACTTACTCATAGTCCTCTCTCCAGAGAAAGTGGGAAATAAAATAGTATGTGAACATATATTTTAAATTCTATAAATTTATATTAATTTCTCTGAGATACTTTTTTAGAATGTTAGCATGTCCCTTGTTTATTAATCTGGGCATCACACAACATATATTGGCAATTCCTGTGCTAGAGCCCAAGACCAGCATGTGGAGGAAGATTTTCCAGGAATTGTGACTATTTTAATAAAATCAGCAGGAAGGTCTGCGTTCACCAGGGCCTCTCCAATGTACTCGTCAGCACAATTGAAAGTCGTGTCTTCTCAGGTAGCGGTTTTGAATGGGGCTAGGTTCCTGGTAACATGTCAAACTGAGTTCCACCAGAACACTTAGCGCAGTCAGAGCAAGAGGACGCATGAAGGAAGAGAGCTCTGACCGCAGGAGTTACAGGGTGTGCCAAGTGAGTGATCTCTCAGTGCCCTGGCGGGAGGCGTGGAGCTCACAGTACTCCCGTAGTTTGAACTTGCTGAGGCTTAAAATAAGATCGACTGGAGAAGGATGGTCAACAGCCTTTGATAGTGTATTAGGAACATCATGACATTTGGAGCTTCGAGAAAAAGAGAAATGTATTAAAAAATCTTTGAAACCTTAAAAAGCAGATGCTTTCAAAGGATCTAGAGTTCTCTCATTTCTAAAACTGTATCTTAAGAAAGACTGCAAGGTTCCTTACAGAATTGAGCAAACATTGAATGATTAGTTTCCCCTATAAGCTGATGTTCATCTAATTGTCAGGTTTGCAAATTCCAGCTTTTAGATCCAGCAGAACCGATTGGAATCCCTAAAGCAGGGGTCCTCAAACTTTTTAAACAGGAGGTCAGTTCACTGTCCCTCAGACCGTTGGAGGGCCGGACTATAGTTTAAAAAAAACTATGAACAAATTCCTATGCACACTGCACATATCTTATTTTGAAGTAAAAAAAACAAAATGGGAACAAATACAATATTTGTATTTGCATGTGGCCCGCGGGCCATAGTTTGAGGACCCCTGCCCTAAAGTGTCCCCTTGCCTTCCTTGAAGCCAGTGTAGCCATGATTGATTCCATTAATAAAAGCTAATGAGTCATTGGCACAAATTAATTTATAATCATTTATAAGTTTTCTTTATTAACTGCTCTACTACATACAACATGTACATGTTTCTTTTTTTTCTTTTTTTAAGTTAGAATGTTATAGTACAACTGGCCAGTTTTGACTCAGACCTGTCATTCAGCCTTTTGATCTGAATTAAAATGAATCCTCTGTGATCACCACACATATAAAACACTTCAATTAAACAACAACAAAAAATTTTTCCACTTTTTTATCTGCAGTGTATTCCACTGACCAAGGAAGTGGTGTGTGTGTGCCCACGTTTGAATAATGCGTGGTCTAGACACACCGCAAAGAGGCAGTTAATTTCACACCAGTGAAATAGCAAATGCACATTGTGTGCTGGTTAGCTACACGTGAGAGGCCTTGAGGCTGGTGGGTGGATTTAGATTCACTCAGGTGGAAAGGGGAAGACAGAACTTCGTAAAGCCGTCTGTATCAGAGGGAAGCCTGGAGTTTTGCAGAGCTTTTTACTAGGAGGTGGACAGACACTCATAGTCACAACCCCTAAAACCCAGGGACTCGGCTAAGCTACCGCACGTGACAAGTAGGAACCCAGGCTCAAAAATCGACCCGACCCAAGTTCAGCTATGCTGGCTTCAAAAAGGGGCTCTGCCACTTCCTGGTTATAGGACCCTGGACCCTGTAAAATGGGGCCGATAATTCCTGTCTCGTAGGAAGATGAGAGGGTAAATGAGGGGATCCGTGAAGGGCTGTGCACGTCCCTGGTGCTCAGTAATGTCAGCTGCCATGACTAAGCAGGAGGAGGAAGAGATTATTAGCACTGAGCTCTAGAAAAGCAATCCTATGTAATAAAAGGCTAATATGCAAATAGACCAAATGGCAGAACAACCGGTCGCTATGAAGTGTGCTAACCACCAGGGGGCGTGCACAGAACATGGCAGGCGTCAGCCACAGTGGGATGGTGGAGCAGGTGAGCGGGGGCACCAGACCAAGGCAGGGTGCCAGTCGCTGTCATCGGGGCATGCCTCTGGTGGTTACTGAAAATTCTTTGCTCCTGTGCGCCACGGTCCCACCCAGTGCTCACACCTGCTGCCGGTGCCAGCCCCGCTCACACCTGCTGCTCGCACCCACTGCAGGCACCTGGTGCTGGGTGCCAGCAGTGGGTGTGAGCGGCAACTCCAGCACCGGCTGCAGGTGTGAGTGGGGCTGGCACCGTCAGCACATGGGAGTGGTGGCAGTGGGAGCAGGGCTGCCGGCAGAGAGGGGACCGGGGCCACGGCAGGAGGGGCCGGGTGGGGGTGCGGAGGATGGGTCGAGACCCACCCCTGTGCCCACCGCAGCCTCGCAGCCCACAGTTCCTTTCAAGGTGCACGAATTCGTGCACTGGGCCCCTAGTTCTAGAATAAGTTTCTGAGTTTCTCTTGGGATTCTTGTTGTGGTTCTGAGGGTTAATGAGGACCAGGGGAATAAATAAAGGTGAGGATAAAGATTAGAGGAAGGAGGAAGAGGAGGAGGTAGTGGAAGACCAGGTAGAGGAAGAAGAGAAAGGGGAAGAGGAGGAGAAAGCATCTCTATATTGGGAGGGGGGTCAGAAATTGAGAGGAGGAGGAACAAGCAAGTCTCTCACTTGCTGGGATGGAGCTTCCAGAGCTGCTCTCCATAAATACTCTGCAAAACCCTGATGGGGAAATACAGGGAGGAAGCCCGGGCTCAAGCAGCAGGGCCAGGCATGCATTTCAGAGCAGAGGAGCGCAGTGAGTAACCTTAGCGACTGAGAAACCTTAGGCCATCACCTAAGCCCTTTCAACTGTAACACTGTGCTAACACCTACCTCAGGGAGTTGCTGAAAGGATTACTTGAGTGAAATATACAAAGTGTTGAGCACAGTGACTGCTCCATGGTGATGTGAGTTGTTGCCACCATAGTCCACTTTAAAGTTTGATATTTAGATGCTGCAGGGACTTGACAGTAAACCAGCTGATATGAGAAGCCAGAACTTCTCGAGATTTATTGGGCTGTAGTTATCGAGAGTGGAACAGGCAGTGAAACTTGGTTTGATACCAGACAATGCGTTTCGCTGACAAACTGAGTAAGACATGAGCAGAGAGGGAGGACAGGCATTGTAAGGAGAGATGGGAGAAATGTAATCTAGAATTGGGTGGAAATCCATGTTTGGAGGAAATGGATGAGGAAGAGTTCACCCTTATCAAGGTCACTTTGTGATGACAATAGGACAGTTGGTCAAACGTCCTGCAAAGACAGTTGCATTTAGTTGGACGGGAGTAAATGATTAGAGACCCTGTCCCCAACATGCCACAATTCCCTCTCCCTCCTCCTCCCCCCGCACCCCCCCCCCCCAGTGACTGGTCAGATCGTGTTTGCAGCTCTAAATCCCAGAGTCATTTTTGCCACCACATTGATTGTGTCCACCTTCCCTAGCAAACTTGTCTATTCTTTCTTCCTTCTC